AGAGAAAGAAACACCAGGAGAGAGCAATATCGTGTAGACTGATATTGCAGAGGATGAGAAGAAGCTGTTGATGATCAACAGTGTCAAAAGCTGCAGACAGGTCAAAGAGAATTAGGATAGAGTAGTGACCACGAGATTTTGCAGCGAGTAGATCATTTGATACTTTGGTCAGTGTCGTTTCCACAGAGTGCTTAGCGCGGAAACCAGACTGAAGCATGTCTAGCAGAGAATTGGACACAAAGAAGTCTGTCAATCTCGCATACACAATTCATTCAAGGATCTTGGATGCAAAAGGCAGTAGCGAGATAGGACTATAGTTGGATCGGGAGTTAGGGTCAAGATTGAGCTTCTTTTGAATTGGGGTTACAGTTGCATGTTTGAAGGGCGATGGAAATATGCCAGAGGAGAATTGAGAATTGAGATTGAGAATTTTAGTGAGAGGTGGAGAAAGAGAAAAAGACAGAGTACGGATGAGATGTGAGGGAATTGGATCTACGGAGCAGGTGGTGGGGTGGGAGGACTGGAGCAGAGCAGAAACCTCTTCCAATGTAGCGGGTGTGAATGAACATAGAACAGCAGAGGGAGTGAAGTTAGGGGAAGTATTGTAAGGGGAAGAAGAAGGATGAGAGATCTCTTCTCTGATTGTAGAGATCTTGTCAGTGAAGGGAAATGCAAAGTCTGAGGCGGTCAAGTTAGTAGGTGGAGGAGGAACAGCAGGACGAAGAAGAGAGTTAAATGTGTGAAATAGTCATTTGGGTTCACGGGAGAGTGTGGTTATGAGGGTATTGAAGTAATTAACTTTTGCAGAGGAAAGAGCCAAACTGTATGAGCTCAGCATAAATTTATAGTGGAGAAAGTCAGATGCACAGTGAGACTTTCTCCAACAGCGTTCAGCAGTTCTGGAGCATTTTTGGAGGTATCGAGTGAGCTTGGTGTGCCAGGGTTGTTGTTGGGGGGCCTGCGGCGTTTAAATGTACAAGGTGCCATGATGTCTAGTTGAGAGGAGAGGGTGGAATTGTAGAAGGAGGTTGCAGAACTAGGACAAGTGAGGTTTGAGATAGGTAAAAGGAGAGTTTGGAGATTAGTGGAGAAATGCTCTAGGTCAAGACATTGGAGGTTTCTGTGAGAGTGATGTTCAGATGGTGGTGTCAATTGGGTCTTAGGTATGCCAATGTCAAAAGTCAGCAGATGGTGGTCAGATAGAGGAAAATGAATATTGGAAAGATTAGAGGCAGTACAGAGGTTGGTGAAGGCAAAATCAAGAGTGTTTCTCGCTGTATGGGTTGCTAAATTTGACAATTGTGTGAGGCCAAAGGAGGAGGTAACAGAGAGCAGACAAGAGGCATCAGTGCAATTGGGGTTGTTGGTCTTTGTAAGTTCAAGCAGTGTGAGTGAGTTTGAGATGAAAAAGTCGTGTATGGTTGTTGATTTTAAATTACTGCAGATGGAGCTGGCATTCCAGAGTGCACAATGAATTTTGGTAAGTGAAGGTAAAGGGCAGGGTATTGTGATGAGGTGTGTGGGGTTTCTGGTTGTCTTAGTGTGTGTAGAGAAGGTGAAGGGCCCTGGATTGGGAGAGACATCACCAGCTGCTAGAAGTAGGAGGAGTGAAAGTGACAGGAGGTGTGAATGGGTTTTGTATGCATAAGGTCTAGGATGAGATCGATTGTGGGTCGAAGTGAGAGAGTAGAAAAATGAGTGTAAGGCATGAGAAGGGAGGAGTGTAGCAGAGAGGAGCATATGTAAATGTGGATGGGGATGAGTGAAGTGGGTGTAAGGAGAGATTTTTATACTGAGGGAGACCGAGGAAATAAAGAGGACGAGAAAACAGAGATGAAGAAATGGATATTCAAATAAAAACAAACATATCAATAAGAGAAGGGAGGGGTCAGAGGACATGTTCTTCATTTCTGAGAGTCAAATCGAAGCGACTAATAGTGTGCTTACAGCGCACTTGTAAAAATTCTAATTTTCTGGGTGCTAATCTGCTAAATAGTACTTTTTGGGGCATGCACTTCATATCTGAGAGTCAAATAGAAGCGTCTAATAGTGCTCTTACAGCGCAGTTGTAAACATTCTAATTGTTTTGCTGCTAATCTGCTAAATAGTACATTTTGGGGCCTGCTCTTCATATCTGAGAGTCAAATCGAAGCATCCAATAGTGCGCTTACAGTGCAGTTGTAAACATTCTAATTTTCTGGGTGCTAAATAGTACATTTGGGGTGTGCACTTCATATCTGGCGTATGTGTGCAACACTGGCTAGTTACCGCTTCTCAAGAAAGTCTGAAGACAAATAAATGTTGCCTATGGTGCAGGTAGCATAGAAGGCAAGACTGAGACAAATCATTCAGGTTACGTTTGCCTGTTAACATGTTAATTATCTTAGACCATTAAAATTCAATAATCAATGAAAAAACACACTAAGTGTCATACAAAAATATGTATTATAGACAAGTTAAAAACAAGACTACAAGGGGGTGGGGCCTGACAGCCAAGATGGCCGGACGTGCTCTCTGAGAGCCCCGACAAGGACGGGCACAAAAACGACTACCCTGAACACTATAATCATGCCAGCAGTACAAAATGCCAAAAAATCGACACAGGACCACGCGGGGAACAAGTTGATACCTGCCACGTACCGAAACACAGAGAGAGCACCCGGGCCGGCCACGAGGCCTACACTGGAGCGGAGCATGAGGCTTGGGGGAGGCGGCCGATCTCCCGACACGGGACCAACTCGAAAGCTCATATTGGATGCTGCCCTGCTACCCCCCCCTCCCCCCCGTGGACCAGCGGGGGATATCCCAGTCCTCGCTGGGGAGGAATACCCCCACAAAGCGGCTCACATAAGCAATTAAACCTGCGAGCAACAGAGACTACAGTGACCCAAGCAAAATGGCAGCAAAATACACTCTCACTATGTTTAACAAACAAAAAATTGTGTGTAGTTCTTCCGTGCCAATTTGTAAATCTCGATGGAAAACATTGGTGTGCTGGTGTGGCACAGCATGCTTGCCTGTTACTGTCACCTGTTAGCATAACGAGGACATACCTGCCGGCCTGGCAATTCACATGTCTAAATCTCATGTTAATTTCTGCTTCTCTTCTAATATATGGTTACGATGCTCCCTAGACTAAACATTCATAGCATAATTACTTTTCTTTACTTCGTAACCAGATACTGCTCTGTTTTAAAACATGTTCACGCAATATCTACCATAGCATAGTCGACCTTGCAATGTTAAGCATCCAGTAACTTTACTTTACTACATTTTATTTCATTCAATCAATCGTACTCGGACAAATCAACTGTTTAGTTAAGCATGTTAAATACAAAAATTGCGCAAATTATCATGCCACTGTCTAACTTGCATTAAACCTGAAATACGCTGTTGTGGCGCTTGTTGAAATAGTGTGACCATCTGCACAACTAAAATAAAGAATTTATAAAAAAAAACAAAACAAAAAAAAAAAAACAAGACTACTAATCATGCTATAACAAAATGAAACAAGTTTTAAAATATGTATGGGCCAACCAGTGGCTGTAAAACAAACTTTACTGGTTACATTCATGACTACACACTCTAGTGAACAGGACCTTAATGTAGTGTTTTCTTTTTTTTTTAATCATACAGCATCCTTTCATGTGCTTTTCAGATGTCATATTGTTAATTACCAATTTTTGTTTATCCTGATTTTTTTTTAAAAAGTGAAAAATAAGTGTTATTTTGATCGCTTCATATACAGAAGCATTAATATACATTTCTATATTGTGTAAAGACACAACTACAAAGTTAAAAATCAAACACCAAAACAACGTGCCAGACAATCTACCTGTGCATGGATAGTGTGATACAATAAGTCTACATCTTAAAAATGCAATAACCCACAGAAGATGGGCGAGAATTTTTTTTGCAAATGGAACATTAATTCGAATTTACTACATCGGTCACTTGTAATATTGTTTCATACCTACAACACTTGTTACACAGATCTAAGTGATAGAAAACAGATTTATATTTTCTACACTAGAAACTACCAGATATCAAGCTGCTATATTTAAACCAGTTATCAATAGCTAAGAGGTACTTAAACAATATTGTAATTCTGGGGCAATACCCTCACAAATCAAACTGAGAGGTCAGTTTATAGGGAAAACTGTTGTCTGGATACAATTCTAAAACAATTTCCATATGTCCTTTGCACACTTTACATGCTGGAAAAACACAGGTGCCAACTGCTGTGGCTTTCTGCAGTGTGCATACCAGCAAGGAGGACAGGGTTGAGGAGTGGGTGGAAGATGATGTGGAGGATGATGAGGTCCTAGACCCCACATGGAATCAAGGTCATGCGAGTGACGTGTGCAGTTTGGAGGAATCACAGGTCACACAGAGGCATCAGCACAGCATAAGAGGGAGCAGGGTGCAAAAGCGGAGCGGCCGTGCCCTAGCGCTCGTCGGCATGTATTATCTTTAGAATTCCCACAGTTATCCAAGTAACAGTTGAAGCGATAAAAAGAACCATAACAGATTTAACAAGCCATTCACAGTTTCGCAGTCCAGTGACCGGGACCCAGACACTGTCTGGGCGGCGGTCGGACAACCGGGACCCAGTATGCCTGATGTAGAAGTTAGGAGTCACAGTGTGGAATGGATTAGCAGGGTCTGGTGCAGGGTAACTGCACCACCCCTGGTGTTGAGCACCAATGTTTGTGCGGCCACATACCAGGACCCTGATGCAGCTTCAGTAAAAAGAGTACTGGATACCAGAAGCCATCACCAGACTGATCCGCAACTTGGAACAGGATGTGATATTCACTGAAGCGGCTGTGCACGCTTTCTGCGTTCTCACCCTGCTGCTGCTTGCCTGTCTGCGTTGCAGCGTAACTTTGGCCCGCTCACTGCCTCATATGCGACGTGCCCACAAGGTGGAACTCCACCTTGCACATGCTGGAGAGACTGTTTGAGCAGCATCAGGCGATAGTGGAGTTTCAGTGGAGTTTCAGCTGGCTCTGCACCAGACTTCCCTCCAATTGATGAGAGTTAAAGGATTTCAAGTGGACTCTTTACAATTACAGGGCCTCTAAAGAGTCCTGTATTGTTATTTGTCGTCAATACCTTCCTGCGTCGGGAGTGGGTCATTTGCGCGCTTGCTGCCTTCCTTGCATGTGGTAGCCATTTGTCAGGCTCCCTGTACAGAATCGAACCCTGATTCCCAGTTACCTGTGGTCACCATGGTAGGTGCAGTCAATGGCATCGAAAGTTGATATGGATTGACATACGAATGCGTCGTTGTCTTCTCATTGGGGGGCACATTGAAAAAGTGCTCTAACATGACGAGCTGGGTGATCTCCTCTGGGAACTTCGCTTGATGGGAGTTGAGCCAGTTCTGGGTGGCCTTTGTGATGCCATGGTGTATACCCAGATATATCAGAGCTGCTGCAGAAAGTGCGGGCCGTCTGTCTTTTAGCATTCTCACCCTGCTGCTGCTCGCCTGCCTGTGCTGCAGCGTAACTTCGGCCTTCCCGCTCACCGCCTCATGAGACTGTGCAAGCAGCAGCAGGCGATAGTGGAGTTTCAGATGCAGCACGCACTGGTCAGTCGCTCTGTGGAACAGTTTTCTTTTTTTATATGTCCCAATATTTTGGGGGCTACCTCAATTAAAATAAAAAATAGATTTATATAAAAAACAGTGTTGGCTACCACCTCCTCCTCCTCCACCGATGCTTCCACCTACACCGCCATGGAAACCGCCTCCTCAACCTATGGGTCACTTAGTATAAACTATGTACACAATAGCAGAGGCTTGTGAAGGCGTTTTCTCCATGCATCAGGAGTTGAGCTCAGTTTGAACAATGAAAGAGAATACCTTGCACTCCAACCCTCTCTCAAATTGATAATTCTGTTGATCCTCCTGACAGCCATGCTTTAGATTTTGATGTATGTTCTTCCAAAGCTAAAATCAAAGATTCCATCTAGTGCTATTTTATGGCTCAGCTGTATTTTTTATTTTTTATGTTATTTTAAGTGTTTTCCCTATCCACATTTGTTTGTAGGGCATTTGTCCTGCTCTTACCCCCATTTTACTTCCTTTTGCAGCCCTCTAGCCCTTTCCAGGACTTTTTTAGAGGCATTTTGTGGCCAAAAGTTCGGGTCCCCATTGACTTCAAAGGGGTTCGGGTTTAGGGTAAAGTTCGGTGTCAAGTTCGATCACGAACCTGGACTTTTTTTCAAAGTTCATCCGAACCCGCCAGACCCGAACATCCAGGTGTCCGCTCAACTCTAGTCATTATATGAAGAAGAATTATTTAAAAAAATAAATAAAATCAAGCCGTGCAAGCAGTATTACCCTATAGTATATTGTACACTTGTCAGTTGTGCTTGATTGTAAGTTAAAGAATTATAAAAAATTATTCAGGAATATTTTCATTATTTATAAACTTTTATGTCTACTATCACACTATATGACTCAAAAAAAAATAAAAAAAAATCGGTTTACATTTTCTATCTCTGCACGCCATGTGAGAATTATTTAATCAGTAATACCATCTCCCAATATTGATGGAACTGCTGTATTTAATTAGATATTGAGGGGTACATATTACTTTTTACATTGGGCTTCGTGCTAAATTAGACCTGCTCATGTATTAGATGAATATACATTTATAGTTTATTTGTCAATTGCCAAGGAGGCATAGAATAACACTTACGTTTTACTTTTCCTTGTGCTTGTAATGAGTAAAAGATCCCAAAACAAATTACCTATTTTGCTGAAATCTTTCAAATTGCACAAAACAGCCACATATTCCAAAATTTTGAACTTTCACAAAATGGTTTAAATCTCTCTAACTATTTGTAGCACACCTTTTAGCTGACAAATACTGCATTTATATCTATTTATAGTGATTTTTAAGTTGAGCATCTGTGGAGTAATCACATTCCAAGAGGCTATGAAAAACACATTTCTGAAACAAAATATGTGCTGTACCAGCAACTTTGTGATTTGGAACAGACTCAATAGTCGTTTCTGCATGCTAGATAGTAAAATTATTATCCAAGAGTCCTGGTCTGTTGTGCCTGAAATATACCTATTCAAATAGGATTGTGTGTATATATTATTAAAAATGACATTAAGTGCAATATTCACTTTTCGTACTTGCTCTCTAAAATTACTTATTGTACAAACGTTATTAAATATCTTTTAGGTGCTATTAAAGGCTGGTCAGTGCCTCATAAAATGCCTTTACCTTCTGTGGTTTAAAAAAAAAAAAAAGCTACAATTGATCTCACAATAGTATATTCAACTCTTAAGAATAAGAAAGTGGCTTTAAATAAATCTTACTTGGAATGAAAAAGCTAAAGTAAAGCATTGCATAAGTCCTTTAAGCCTGGCTATAGACTATTCCACCAAGGCTTGTATCTAAAACAAATCACACCTTCTCTATATTATTTCATAATACGTACCTTGTATAAGGATTTTTTTATATTGTAAAGAAAAATATTTGTGAATCAACGGATATAACGCTTCCTAGAAAAACAGTTTTTACTGTGTATTTAAAAAAAACAAACAAATTGAATTATGGATTTACATCAAGCCATATAGAAGCTGTTTAAATTACACAAATAACAAAGAACGAAGAACGAATTTTAATTTGCGAGTAGAGAGGACATTTTTTTAATACTGTTAAGAATGACTGTGCATGCTTCTTCATTATTTTGTTTAATGTTCTTTTTAGTTCCTAATTAAAAAATAAAGTTTGAAATGAATCTCACACTTTTTTTTTTGCTGAGCCAGTGTTCCTTTTACTGCACCTTTTCCTCTGTTTCTGTAAGTTTTATCTAAGGCTTAACACCTTGATGTTTGGTAGTTTTAAAACATTCAAAATATGTCAGATTCTATGTAGAAAATGCTAAAGATTTACTTATTGTGAAAAGGTGCTATGACAGTGCATTCATGATAGTCTACCTTTTTTTTAGAAAGAAAACAAATATGATGCAGCGTTCAGTGAAGGTCAATATCATATGTCCTTATTCACTTATATTCATCGTTTTTGTTGTAAACTGAACAGATAGATAGATAAACATAGTCAGAAGGACGCATAGACAGACAGAGATAGATGGAAACAAAGATGAAATAAAAAGTTATGTTTTCACATACAATTCATATTTTGTACATGCCTCCACAGGTTTTTGAAGGACATACATTTACTGAAAATATGTTTTGTTTTTTTGTTTTTAAAATAGACCTTTTTGACAATGATTGCTCTGAGTAGTGAACATTTCTCCTAAAATTGTTCTAGAATATGGTTTTATTCAGCATATGTATCCACAAAAATTGTAAAACAAGTTGACATTCGAGTGCTGTTATTATACCTTGTCAGATATTTTGACACTAGCAACTTTTATTTCCAGAGCTCAGATGACCACGTCGGTTAGGGCACTGTATTTTTCAAAGTTAAAAAAGTGTGTTTTAATAGAACAACATAACCAATTTAACACTTTTATTGTTTACTGTGCCATCAGTAGCAGAGTCTTTTTAAGTGCTGGCTTTTCATAAGGTGCCAAATGTGCAGAATGTTTACATTTTTTAAACGGCTATGTGTAAAGAAGCTTCACATCAGATTAAGACTACTAATTAATTCACTATAAAAATAGAAAATGTGTTAACAGTAATTAAACAAGCTTAATTAAGCAAGCTCTTTCCTAAGCCACCTTCCTGAAAGGATGGAGCCAAAGTTAAATGTTAGGTGTTTAAAATATTTGCAAACAATTTAAGTGTAACAAATTATGTAAATGATGTTATCCTAGTATTATAAACAGCCTTCCTCTTCAGTGTAAAACTTAAATCATCTAGGCTGAATCTTTCCAAAAATAGGTTTATTTTTATGTTTGTGAGTTGTTTGTTAAGCTTTATTATGAGAAGAGATTAACAGCAACATATTTCTATAGCATTAAAAGAAGCTGTTCCATACTGTAATTATGATCAAACAGTGTATATTCTTTTTGGGCTTGAAAAAAACTGCAGAGTTTGAAAGGTTTTCTCCCAGCATAATTACCACTCCAGTCCACTGTTGAAGTTATGATGTGAGGAGTAAACTGGCCTCATTTCTCAGTGATGGGGCACACCATGGGTTCTATCTCCTTGGATGATATGCATCTGGCTGTCTCCATTCACTGGGCGAGAGCGTCAGCTGACTGCTATTGGAGAAATAATGCATTTCTTTGCAAAAGAACATCAAATTGATATCACACCACTGAAGTGGTCATTGTGCTTGGAATAGCTCTTTGACAACCATCAGGGCCGTCTATAATATGATTAGGACTCTGGGCAATGCATTTTCTTGGGCCCCCTGGGCCCTGCTCCTTCTCCCCCAACCCCCTAATTACACCCAACCCGCAATCACACTGACAGACATACTGACACATACGCACACAGACAGACATATTAAAACATTCTCAGATACATACTGACATACACATACACTGACACACAAATATATACTGGCAGACATATTGACACACATTCAGACATACTGACACACACACAGACACACATTCATGAATACACAGACACATAAACTGACAAATATACTGACACACACAGATGCATACACTGACAGACCTATTGACACACACACAGGCATTCTGACACAGACACACAGGCAGACATACTGACACACACACACACAGACATACACATACATACACACACACACATAGAGACATACACACACACACAGACAGACATAGACACACACACACACTTAGTGACACACAGACATACTGACATACACACACACACAGACAGACATAGACACACAGAGACATACTGACACTCACAGACATACACACACACACACACACAGACAGACATATATTTAGCCACCCTCCAGTTTCTTACCTTTTTCTGGAGGGTGGTTTCCCTGGTCCAGTGGCAGGCTGAGGTAGATGGGAGTTCTCCTCTGGAACTCCCCTCCTCCCTGCCTTTCTCCTCCCGCGCAGTTGTGATCTCCGGTGGGAGGAAGTGACGCGCGGCACTCACTTCCTCCCAGCCGGCTGCCGAACAGGAAGGGGCCCGGTTGCGCTGTTTAAGTGTCACAGCGCC